CGAGGGTTTCGTTCTGCAGCCGCAACATAGTCACTTTGCTTATGATGCTGGTGACTACTTGCGTTGTGTGGACGTTCACGTCCTCAACTTGGTCACCTCCGCCAGTTGGTAGTGCGGTACGAGACAGCAGGTCTGCGAGTAACAAGTCCCTACCAGGTACAAACTGCAACAAAAAATCATATTTCATAAGACGGATGAAAAACCGCTGTAGCCTGGGTGGCATATCTGCAATGTTCTTTTCGGCAATCGGAAGTAATGGCCTGTGATCAGTTTCTATCGTAATGCTTCGTCCATACACGAACTGATAAAATTTTTCACAAGCGAAAACAATTGCCAGTGTTTCCTTTTCTATCTGGACGTATCGCTCTTCACTCGGCGTCAGCGCTCTTGAGGCGTAGGTCACTGGGCGCCAGTCATTCCCGTGTCTTTGCAATAAGGCAGCGCCAATACCTGTTCCTGAGGCTTCCGCAGTTATCTTAGTGTTTCTTTTTTCATCAAAAAGAGCCAGCAATGGAGGATTAGCGAGCGCTGCGCAGATCTGGTCCCATTCGCGCTCATGGGCTGTTGTCCACTCAAACACCGATGCTTCTTTCACCAGGCTACGTAGCAACGCCGTTTTGTCGCTCAAAGCTGGCAGGTATTTCCGAAAGTAGTTCACAACCCCGAGTAATCTGCGCACACCCTGTTTATATTTTGGGGCTGGCATGGCACGGACGCTTTTGATTAAGTCGGGGTCAGGACGAATTCCGTCTCTTCCGATAACGTCGCCAAGGAATGCAACCTGCGTGGTGCAGAACACGCATTTAGCTGGATTAAATGCCAGCCTTTCCTCTTGCGCCCGCCTTAGTACTGCGATGACGCGTTCGTCGTGTTCTTCCTTTGAGTCGCCCCACATTAAAACGTCGTCTACGTAGACACGCACTCCCGGCAGCCCTTCGAACATCTCTGTTAGAGTCTTCTGGAACACCTTGCTGGCTGAGGAAATTCCGAAAGGCAGACGCAAAAAACGGTACCGCCCAAATGGTGTCGCAAAAGTGCATATTCGTGAAGTGGCCTCATCTAAAGGTATCTGATGAAAGCCAACATTAGCGTCAAGCCGGGAGAAGTATTGTGCTCCTGCCAGCTCGCTCTCTATGTCCTCTCGTGAAGGCATAGGATAGTGCTCCCGCTTAATGCTCCTGTTCCCTGCTCTAGGGTCCATGCAAATGCGAAGGGTACCATCCTTCTTGTGCACAACTACCAGGGGGCTCACGCAGTCAGTTCGTTCATCCACCTTGACGATGATTGAGGTCTTTTCCATTCGTTGCAGTTCTTGTCGCAGGCGTCCTTTCAACGCTATGGGTACTCTGCGGGCAGGCTGCACGACTGGAACAGCATCCTCTCGTAGCACCATTTTGTAGGGTCGCCTGATGCAGCCGGTGCCGCTGAAAAGGTCAGGAAATGCAAGCTGGAATTTCGTTTGCTCATCGCCTACCTTCACGGCGTCCGGTGTCACCGGTACCAGACCAAACTGCTGGCATGTCTTTGGGCCAAGGATGGCTTGGCGCCCCTTTTCCACGATAAAGAACGAGATTGAATGCTGTGCTTCGTTTATCTCGAGATCTTCGGTCGCCACGCCAACGTGTTTGATTGTACTGCCGTTGTAGGCGGTGAGGACAGCGGCGCTCTTTCGCGGAGTGCTTGCGTGGGCGATTCGGTTGAACAGGGTTAGGGGCAGCAAATTTGCCTGAGACCCGGTATCTACCTTGAATTGTATCTCCTGACCAGCTATTTTTCCGTGAACCATCCAATCCGCTCCTATATCTCCGGTTCCGTAGTGGTGATGAACAGCTGCAGCTTCTGCTTGAATACCAGCCAGTTTTTCCTGATGTTGTCGGACAGTTGCAGCGGTTCCGGGGGCTTGACGAAGTTCATTTCGAACGTCAGAATCCTACTTCTGACACCATGTAACGTGTTTAACTCTGAGACAAGACGACGATGAACACTTGGCTGGGCCTCGCCATGACGAATGACCCCTGGCCGTTTATTTGCTGGGCTTAAGTAGCCGCGATCACAGCGGGAAGGGGGGAAAGAAAGCAAAGGAAGGAAAGTAAAGCACACGAAATGGTGGAGAGGAGGAGGAGACAATATCGCCTAGGGCGAATGCTGATAGCAGATAGTCCGGTCTGTTACACAGTATAAAAATAATAAACTTTGTACAAGAACGTTTATATTCACATAGACAAAACAAATCAGAACCGAGGTGCTGCCTTATTACTTATGTCATGCAGTGAAGACTTACTTGGTTTCTCATGAGACACAAGTAAAGTCATTCACTTTTCTCAGTAATTTTTTTTTTATAAGAGCCTGAAGGTGTTCTAATATGATTGATGCCTGTGATGTGAATAATTCCTTTATAAATCAGATGTCTGGTGAACTTCGCTATTTCGTCCAGCGGCACCTCTTCTCTTTTATTGAGCAACCTCACTCCTCTGAGGTAGGCATTCCTATATACATGTATGCATCACGGTGCAAATATACTTTAGGTGAGTGAATGCCAGGACTACCCGCTGCCCAACAATATTCTGCTTCGCTAGGAGTCTGGGAGATGCCGCTACAAACTTTGCCCCAACTTCCCCTCGTCCCTTGTCGGTGTAGGAAAACCCCATGATGTAGGAAAGTAGCAATGCTCATTTATCGTCACCACAACACCCTCGCCACACCGTCAACCTCCTCCCTTATCACCCCCTCTTTCGCGACACCGCTCTATGCGTGTCGCGTGGTTGATATCACGCGATTACCCGGTTTTCTCAGATTTGGAAACTGTCGCCCACGTGCCGGATGTGCTTTGCGGAATTCGCCAGCAACCCACAATGGTCCTCAGTCCGGCAAGCCATCTATCGACACGCCGCAATCGAGAACATAATCGGTACCTCCCCGCCAAGCGCTCGCTTTGCAGCGTTCGCTCACCTAAAGTATTCTTGAACCATGATATGCAACCAAATATATTTCTTAGCCTTTTCACATCATATTACAAAAAGAACAATATCGCATGTAGTTCTAAAATGTTTCATGTTGCTCCATAGTCAGGGCCAAGATGTGCTTTGGGAACCTTCTTGTCGTTAGGGAGAAGCCCTGCAGTCTGCGCCAGCACAACCTGCTCCAGCGAAGTGTGGACCTCGCACATTACCAGAGTAGATACAAGATTGTGCACAAAGGTGAGCAGCTCGCACTTACGGCAGAGGAGACAACTTGAAACCGTAATTGAAACAAATACATGAATGGCTGCAGATATATCAGGCTGAAACAAAACATCGTCGCCATAAAATTTAAAGCTGAGGTGCTGTCATGCTCGAACTCTAAGCTCACCCTCACTCAATTCATGTGGGACTGCAAGACAGTTTTGAGCGGTGCGTTTGTTTTGCAGCGCTGGCGCGCCCCCATGCGCGCGTGGAAACGATGCCACAGAAGTGGCTAGTGACACTAGATGTGGCCCTGTGTCTTATATGACGACACAAGAAAAACTTAAGCTGCTGGAAGCTCGCTGAGAAGGCCACCTCGAAACTTCAAGTATGCGGCAGACCTTCAGAAATAATTTTTGTTGAACAAATTTTCCCTAACTCCCTGCAACAGTTGAATAGCTGGCCTAAATTTCTGGCAATTTTTACTTCTGAACAATGTCAAGTTGCGAAGCTCACACTTTATTTCAACATTTGACTTTCAAAAGTTGTTGTGACTACAGAACTTTGGTGTTATTATAGCATAATCATCAGAGGCGCGCACTTTTGTCAAGTTTACCAGCCTAGTGCATTTTTTCCACAACACACGCACATTGGTTCATGCAAAGGTCTGTCAAAAATCACTATGTTGACAAAACGGGTAAATTCAAACTGATTATGAAATTTGAGTGGAAGTTGAGTCGCAGGACTAGCTACTAGAAGGTGCAGAGTGCACGAGAAACAAATTTAACATGCCAGAATCGACGAACCAAAGCATCGATCACTGGTGATCGATTTGAATAGGCATGATAACAAAAGAGTTAAATGGAAACCTCTTGATAAGATTTTCTGCTTACATGGAACTGCCTCTAATATGGTTGGTCTCTTAACTATATTTTTCACCCCTGTTTATCTTTCAATAAAGAAACTCTTGTTAAAGGGACACTAGAGAGAAACAATGACTTGGTGTAGATTGATAAATTGCACTCCGAGAAATCTAATGCCATAAGTTTGACTGTCATAAGTTCATTAGAATAAGCGAAGAAAATCAAGGTTGAAGCTTCATTCTTAAATTTCGCATCGAGATCTCCATGTGAATAAATAACAAAATGTATTTTTCGTATTTTTGTGACATTGAATAGATGATATTTTCTAAAGCTTCGTATTCTAGGCCTATGGCACTCACACATGAAAATGTACTTCCTTTTTATCAAGTAGAAGCTATGCAGTACCCAGTTGACGCCTTCAAAACTTACTACATCCCGGAGTTTGGTACGAAAATTTCAGGATGGCATTTCCACCCGCATTTTCTTTTTGCATTTTCTCGCTTACCAAGTATCATGTCGTGGTAGAGTGGTGTTTTCGAGATTATGAAATTGCACTTTACTTGTACGCGAAAAATCATTTTGCTCTTTAGTGTACATCTAAACATAGTTTTATGGTCCCTTCAGGCTACTTTTAGGGGGAGTATACTGCACAGGATGCTTCGAGAACTGAGTCAGAAAAATTTATAAATTTAAGCAAATGCTATATTCGTTTGCTGGCTTCATAGTTACTATTCCAGTAATGGCAGACATCTTGACATCACTCGAGACATCAATTATACCACTAATTAAAAAATCAAGTTATTTAGCTTCTTGGTTACATTAATGTTTGTATTTAATGATGTACGCATATGAACCAAGAGTCATTCAAAATGTGCAAGTACTTGAAAGGCCAATTTTCTTGCGCTGTGTTTGTTCCTCAAAAAAAAAGACAACGCTGGCTATATGCACGACATATCATTAAACGTAATGTCCTTACCCACAGTCATCTGACAGTTGGTGAGTAAATGATACGCTGCCCGCAGTCTTAGACACAGCTGCTTATCACCAAAGGTAAAGTACACGAGGTCCCGGCCTGCAACGGATGCTGCCATAAGCTGAATAAGTGCCTTCAACTGTGGGTCACCACCAAAGGCACCACAGCCCCAGTTTCCCGTGGCAATGGCTGCACGCTGTGTGCGAGGTATCTTCGGTGGACTGAAGAAACCGCAATATGCCTGTAAAGAGAGAACTACTTACTGAAGAGGACTTTCACGGAGTCAAATTATTTTTAAAAATTAACCAGAGTCAAATTAAGGGAAGTTTACAGCAACACTTGCAAATATAAGCTTTGCTGTGAACGCGTCTTTGGTTTTCTCTACAGCTGCAGAATATTAAATGAAACGAGGCATATGCAAAATAATTTTCTAGTTGCTTAGTTACATCTGATAATCTATATCGCATAGAGATAATATCCATGCTTGCATAGCAGTATATATGGAGCGTGAAACTGCACACAACCCATTGTGAGTTATTTAATTGACTACAGGACCACAGTGGTCTCACACTGTGAAATATCTTCAATGAAGCAGAAATTTTCAATTTACTTTCTTACATCTGATTATCCATTCAGCACACACTCTTATATACAGATCACATTCACACTGACATGGCAAGTATATATATATTGCCGCGACAGGTTGGCGACGTTCAAGTAGCTCGCCGCAATCATCGTGGCAAGAGCACAAGCAAGACCCGGCTGGCATGTGCCACGCGTTCATGCGCTCCGGCAACGAGGAAGAGGAAGATAGTTGGATCTGTGCGACTCGACTACTCAGGCTGGACGACCATAGTCTTTAGAATCGTGGGCACAAGTTCGCCCTAATAAATAGGCTTGTTTTTTTAACCTGTCTGCCTCAGCATCGCTACATTTTTGGTGGAGGTGCTGGGTTATGAATCGAAGCCCCGTGAGCTCAAGACAGCGTAGCCCTGACAACCAGCGTATCAACCTCGTGGAAGTGACTCCTGTACACCAGAGGGCAAGTCGCCGTCTTTGAGGTGACTCACCTGAGTTCGGTCCTCTTCACTTCACACCAAGGGGAATTCAAACGATGGATGCCACCACTATGACTAGCCAGGTAACACCGGCACAAGTGTTCATTAGCAAACCGCACCAGCCGCCAGTATTCCACGGCGACTCGTACGAGGATGTTGAAGATTGGTTGGACCTGTTCGAGAGAGTGGCGAGCTTGAATGGATGGGACGAAAGAGAGAAGCTCCGTCGCGTATACTTCGCCCTAGAAGACTTCGCAAAGACATGGTTTGAGAATTATGAAACCTCGTTGTCTACCTGGGAAGTATTTCGACGACAAGCGGTGGCTACGTTCACGAACATAGACCGGAAAGAAAAGGCGGAGGCTGCTCTTCAATCGAGGAACCAGCTCACGAACGAGAGTGCTGCTATGTACAATGAGGACATGGTCCGTCTGTTCAAGCGTGCGGATTACAACATGGCTGAGGATAAGAAGGTGCGCCATTTAATGCGTGGAGTGAAGCAAGAGCTGTTCGCCGTTCTCGTCCGCAACCCTCCAAGCACAGTTGCTGAGTTTTACTCGGAAGCGACAGCCATCGAAAAAACACTGGAACAGCGGGCTCGGCAGTACAACCGGAATCTTAACTGCGCATCTGCACAGGTATTCTCCGGAGGCGTGCGAAATGACGTTGAAGCACTACGAGACCTCATTAGATCAGTTGTTAGAGAAGAACTGAGCAGACTGCAAATGCCCCAGACTCCAACTGCACTATCCGTTACGGACGTTGTTCGTGACGAACTGAGGCAGGTGATACGAGAGCCGGAGCGTGAGCTGCAGCCGGTTCGACCTATCCGAACACACTCTGAGGTTGTCAGACAACCCACCGTACACAGCAATGCAGCAGTTGCGATAGCGACGACTCCTCTCCCACCTGCGGCACGCAGCGCACCTCATCCACGGGAACCAACAGCTACCTATCTGCCCCCAGGAGCACGTAGCACACATCACTATGTGGAGTGTAGGCCCAGGAAAAGTGACGTCTGGCGTGATCACGAGCGCAGGCCTCTGTGTTTTCATTGTGGGGAAGCGGGTCATCTGTACAGATTCTGTCCTTACCGACAGACTGGATTAAGAGGCTTCCAGTCATATGCACCGTGCCCCCGAAACGGCGAACGACCAGTGGAGATTGAGGAGTACTTGTCCACGCGCCAGAACTCGCCAACTCTATGCCAACACCGGTCACGGTCACCATCGCCTACGCGCTACCGGTCCTCCAGCCCACGTAGACCTTCAAGGCAGCCTGGTCACCGCTCTCCAAGTCCACTCCCGGAAAACTGAAGCAAGCGACCTGTGGAGGTGAGGTCGCTGATAACGTCAGTTACGAAGATCCTCCAATATGGTTTGAGGGTGATGACAATGTATTTCCGGTAGATGGGTGCAGCAACGAAAACGTTACTTCAGATTTGCGGTTGAGAATGGAAGGATGGGAGTTGAATGCCTTAATCGACACCGATGCTGATTATTCAGTGATAAGTCACAAGATGGTGAAAAAGCTAAACAAAGTTGTGACACAGTGGAGTGGATCGCAGATACGCACGGCAGGCGGTCACATTATTACGCCCCTTGGCAAATGCACTGCAAGACTTGAAATACGGGGCTTTATTTACGTGGCCGATTTCATTGTGCTGCCAGAATGTTCAAGGGAACTCATTATAGGAATGGATTTTTTGCGAGCTAATGGCGCCGTAATTAACCTGCGTAGATCCAGCGTGTCATTTTCGACTGCACGAGCTATACCTGTGGAGGAATCTGAGGAACGACGCCTAACTGCTCTACGCGTTGTTCATGATGACGTAACTGTGCCGCCACGCTGCAGTATAATGGTGCTTGTAGGAAATGACGCATTGTACAACCGCGAAGGCATAGCGGATACAAATGTAGGGCTGTTTTTGAACAAAGGTGTCTGCGTAGCTAGGGGTCTTGTTCACTTGACGAAAGGCCGTGCAGATGTCCTACTCACAAATTTCTCCAATGAACTTCAACACATTGCTCAAGGCACGGCTATTGCCTATTTACACGACTTCTCTATGGCGACTGAACTATGCAGCTTAACGACATCAAGCACTCAACCAGTGGCCCGCAGCATCGACACATCCGTGACCGTCAATCAGAGCCTTCCGGACAGTCAAAAGAAACAGATTTACGCCTTGGTAAAAGAATTCTCTGATTGCTTTTCAAGTGCCTCGAAGGTCCAGCGCACGTCAATCACAAAACACAGAATTATAACGCAAGACGACACGAGGCCTATATGCCAGCATCCATATCGGGTGTCACAGAAAGAATGGGAAATTATCAAGAAGCAAGTGGAGGAGATGCTTTCGGATGATGTCATCCAGCCTTCGAATAGTCCATAAGTGTCTCCCGTAGTGCTCGTTAAGAAGAAAGACAACACACTTAGATTCTGTGTCGACTACAGAAAACTGAACAGTGTAACTAAACGAGATGTCTACCCCTTGCCACGTATCGACGATACACTAGATCGGTTGCGATCCGCAAAGTTTTTCTCCTCCTAAGATCTGAAAAGCAGATATTGGCAAATAGAGGTCGACGAGCGGGACCGTGAAAAAACGACATTCGTAACACCAGATGGCCTCTACGAATTTAAAGCGCTTTCGTTCGGCCTCTGTTCCGCACCAGCAACGTTCCAGCGAATGATGGACACTGTCCTTGCCGGATTGAAAAGGCAGTCATGCCTAGTGTATTTGGACGACGTGGTGGTATTCTCTGCAACGTTTGACAAACATCTAGAGCGACTACGCACAGTATTGGAAGCCATCCGGTCAGTAAAATTGACAATCAAACCCGAAAAATGCCACTTCGGCTTCGAAGAGCTGCGATTCCTTGGACATGTCATTAGTTCCGATGGTGTTCGTCCTGATCCCGAAAAGACAGCCGCTGTTCAGAGGTTCCCTACACCCAGAGACAAAAAGTCAGTGCGTCAATTTTTGGGTTTATGTGCCTACTATAGGCGATTTGTTGAAAATTTCTCAATGATTGTGGATCCTCTTACAAAACTGACGAAAGATGACGTGCCTTTCACATGGGAAAGCGAACAACAGAAAGCTTTCGACGAATTAAGAAAACGACTACAGTGTTCACCAATACTTGCCCATTTTGATGAGACAGCCGACACCGAAGTACATACCGATGCCAGCAATGTCGGCCTCGGCGCCATCCTTGTCCAGTGGCAAAATGGTCAAGAGAAAGTGTTAGCCTATGCCAGCCGCAAACTATCAAAAGCTGAGGCTAACTACTCTGCAACTGAAAAAGAGTGCCTCGCAATCATCTGGGCAATAAACAAGTTTCGACCCTACCTTTATGATAGACCATTCAGAGCTGTCAGTGACCACCATGCTCTATGCTGGCTGGCAAATCTCAAGGACCCGTCAGGTCGACTAGCAAGATGGAGCCTCAGGCTGCAGGAGTATGACATTACGGTCGTGTGCAAATCTGGAAGGAAACACAGTGATGCCGATTGCCTGTCACGCTCTCCCGTCGATCCAAGTGTACCTCAAGAGGAAGACTTCCCGTTTCTAGGCGTTGTTGACGCATCCGAAATCGCTCAACTACAACGAGATGACCCGGATTTGCTGGCGCTTATACAAAACCTGCAGGGTCTCGATGTTCAAGTCCCTTGCATATTCTTCAGAGGGCTCTCCGCGTTCTGCCTTCGAGGAAGTGTCCTTTACAGGAGGAACTTCGAACCTAATGGTGAAACGTTTTTACTAGTCGTGCCTACAGCCATGCGAGACGAAATTCTTCACGCATGCCACGACGAGCCAACATCTGGACACATGGGTGTGAGCCAAACATTCGCCAGGATTCGCCTGAAATACTATTGACCTAAGTTGCTCACATCAGTGCAGCGCTACGTGAAAACTTGTCGTCAATGTCAACGGCGCAAAACTCCACCCGTAAAACCAGCCGGCCTTCTCCAGCCAATAGACCCTCCAGATGCCCCATTCCAACAAGTCGGCATGGACTTCCTAGGACCTTTCCCGACATCATGTGCAGGCAAGAAATGGATAGTCGTAGCCACAGACTATCTGACCCGTTATGCTGAGACTGACTCTCTGTACAATGCGACAGCTGCCGAAGTCGCCAAGTTCTTTGTGAACAACATAGTGCTCAGACATGGTGCGCCC